TGGGTGACCTTGGGCCAGTCACTCTCTTTCAGCCCTAGGAAGCAGGCAATGGCAGACTACTTCTGAAATATTGCCAAGAAAACTGCAGGGACTTGTCCAGGCAGTCACCAGGAGTCAACACTGACTCGAAGGCTGTCTTTCTTTCTTTCTTTCTTTCTTTCTTTCTTTCTTTCTCTATCATCTATCTATCTATCTATCTATCTATCTATCTATCTATCTATCTATCTATCTATCTATCATCTATCTATCTCAGATAAAATTTAGGAGTTAAGTTGAGCTTAACTTAAGTTGAGGTTACATGCACTAGATTTGGCATATCTGCATTCTATCCAAATGCTACTCCTCAAGTAATATTGCATTATTGGCCTGCAGAAAGAGGGATAGGTACAGGGCATCAGATAAAGGGGGAGATGTTCTTTTTTCAAACCTCAGCTGTTTCTAACACTATGGATAGGGGAATGGTTGGGCTAAGAGATATCTGATTTTATTTACTAGCATATTTGAATATTGCCTCTCATGTACCAGATACCTAAGCAGTATATAATAATGATGGATAGGATAGGATAGGATAGGATAGGATAGGATAGGATAGGATAGGATAGGATAGGATAGGATAGGATAGGACAGGACAGGACAGGACAGGACAGATGGAGGGATGGATAAATAGAAACAGTTTGACTTTCTGTCTACATATCTAGGCTGTTTCAATGTCTTTTGACTATAGCAAACACTCAGAATATTTCTAAGCATTCACAGAGCTTCCAGTAATCCTTTGCCATACCAGTTTGATCAAGCCCCACTTCCCCTCTCCTATAATCTTTTTCAGATTAACTAAGTTACTTAAAAATACACTCTGCCTATTAGTGGGACAAAAATGGGACAGAAATTCTCTGGGTCAGGGAGGGAGGCAGACTTTATTTAAGATATCCAGGTTCTAAGCCATGTAGGGCTTTATACAGATAACCAGCACCTTGACTTACACTCAGAAATAAACTGGTAGCCAGGGCAGCTCCCATAGCAATGGCATTTTGTGACAATACCATGATTGTCCAGTGAGTATCTGGGCAGCTCCATTCTGTACCAGCTGAAATTTCCAGGCGGTATTCAAGGGCAGTCCCATGTAGAGGAAATTGTAATAATTCAATGGCAAGGTTGACTTAAGTGTGGGCGATCGCATTCAGTGCATCAAGTTCTAGGTAAGATTGAAGGGCAATTGGCAAAGCCCTCTTGACTGAGGCCTCTGCCCATCTGTTGTTCCAGCAGGAGTCATGAATCTGGGAGGATTCCCAGCTTGCAGCCTGCTCTTTCACAGATATGATGGGAAGGAGCCCGGAGGTGAGCCTTCTCAGCGGCTTTCTCCTCCTTTGGAACAGTTTACCCACCAAGGGAAGAATCTCCCCACTCTTACAGCCTTCTGGAGAATGGTTAACACCTGGCTGTTTGGTAGGACTTTGGAGATTAACAGCCAAAGTAAAATCTGTCCCACTGATAATATTCTTTAGTGATTTATTTTGTATTTTATTGAATTATTATTTGAATTGTATTGTGATTTTGTTTGTATACCTCACAGAGCTTTGGAATGAGACAGTTTATAAATCAATTCCCTTCCCCTCAAGACATGCTTTCTGAGCAAACCCAACGTGCTTTAAAAATCACTCTATCCCCAGCCTTTCATTTTAGCAGCTTTAAACTCCATATTAGAGGCAGAGCCCTATGGAAAAATTTGCACTGGGGAGATTTCAAATTAGATACTCCTGTCCTACTTGAATGAGAGAAGAAGTTGCTCCATTCCACATCACGTATGGGCATGATCCAAGCTGGAGCACAGTCCTAATACAAAACCAGGCCTCAGAGCTCATCTCAAAGCACAGGGAGAGATGGACATATGGAAGAAAATGAGAAGCTTCAGAAAATTAGGAGTGCATGTGTTTGTATGTTCAAAAATCCCAGAATGAATGAATGTGTGCATATATACCTCAATGAATTTGGGGAGCAGAGAACAATAGCCCTTTATTTGTACTGTTTTCCTGTGATTGGAACCGGACAGTATTCTTTTGCAGACTGTCCGAGGTCAAAAGTGCAGTTATATTGCTAAGGGCACGGAGCCTGAGCCATGGAAATACTACTGAGGTAATAATTTTTGTGTGTGAAGGAGCACATCTTTTACCTCCAGACTTCTCTTGTTCAGTGGAAGATGACCCACAATTCTATCTCTCTTACCACAAAGCTTCACTGACCTTCTTGTGCAAGATATTCATTTTCTATGATTCTAGCCAGGCCAAAATCAGCAACTTTGCAGCAAAGGGACTCTGAGACCAGAATGTTGGCTGCTCTGAGGTCTCTGTGGATGGAGTTCATTCTCTCAATGTATGCCATCCCTTCAGCAATCTAGGAGAGATAAGGACAACAGCTGAACATACCTGGTGGTGAAGTGATCAAAGATTTCCCTGCTCAATGGGAGGGCAGAGTTTCTGAGTTTGGTAAGGGATAAAGAAAGCCACACATTTCTGTTTCTGGCATTTTTTTTTATTTTTTGCAAGTTGGTTCCATCACATTTCTTCATCAGCTTGCAAATTTGCCATTACAAAGTCCATATGAAAATTCAAACCCATTGTTGTGACTAAAGGATGTATTTTTATACCCATTTTTTTCTCATGCAGTTTTGCAAGCCCTTCCCCCTTCCTTTCATTGCATTCCCTAACATACATTTTTGAGTGCCATTGTCCTTAACCGACTCATTTGGGGAAAACACTTCTTTTAAAAAATTGGAAAGTTGCATTGTAACAGTGAATTCCAAAAAGTAACAGCCTTTTCGCTTTGCTTGCTGCTTCTGGAAATGAACATTAGGTACAATCCTAGTCATTTTTTGGTCTTGCTAAGCTAGGCATCTTATTGAAAGTGAGCTCTTGAGTGACTCTACTGTATCAGCAACTAAGATGCAATCCCGGACTTTCCTGCCAGTAAACAAAGTGTATAGCCCAGATGTTCTACTCACCTTCATGGCTATCTTGTTTTATTTTCTTCTGACTAAAGGGACACTACATTTTCTCTTCCATAGAGATTTGTTAGGGTTTTTTTTTTCCACTTCTTAACTTTCACAGAGTTTCAAAAAGGATATGAAAACATACTTTCCATAACTATGTGATATGCTTAAGCTGATTTGCTTTTAGTTCAAATGCTGCTCACCTCAGTGGAAAATGAAGCCACCAGAAGGGTGTCATTTCCTGTCCTGATGTCTATGTGATCAAGGCGACACCCTGGTTTCCCCATGAATGTGCTAGTGGGGTTGACCACAGGACAAAATGCTTTCTAATTTTAACTTTCATGTAGAAATAAGGGGTCATCACTGGATGTGCCTGGGGCCTGTTTATACAAACCATACTGTTGTGATGACGTTTGCTACTTGACCTATGTTTGGTAGCCAGATGCTCCTGCTGTGTGCTGCATTTATGATGCAGGTATTTTGTGAAACAATTTGAGATGAACTGGCAGCACAACCAATATGTATTTTGATATTTCACGCAAAGGGCTCAAGGTATTGGGTGGGCTTCTTCTACATTCAGTCTTCACCACAATGTTGTCAGGCACGTCAGGCTTTGAGATAGTGACCTCTCCGTGGCCATTCGGTGAGTGTCATGGTAGGGTAGGGAGAAAATTGAGCCTGAATCTTCAAATATGACACCATAGCCAGGGAACCTTTTTGGGGGGCTGACAGTCACATTCCCTCAGGGATTATCTGCTGGGAATTACATGGCAGTGGTGGTCAGGAAACAAGCCAGAAGAAGTAAAGGCTTGCATCTGTTGCCTCTCTGTGTCTCTTTTTATTACTCCTGCTGTTTTTTTCTCTCTCTCTTCTTCTGCTTTTTTTGTCTTCCTCAGTTACTCCTTCACATTCTCTCATTTTGACTCTCTTGGCAACTCTTTCCATTTCTCTCTTTCTCTTTCTCTACTACCTGTTCTGTATGTCTGTCATTTCTGTCTTTGAGCTATTCCCCACTTACATCTAATCATACTACAAACATCCTGTGGCATCATCTTTACTGTTCCTTGTCCTCAAGATGTTGCATTCATCTTGTCTTCAGCTCTTCCAAGTGACACCCTTAAGTTCTCCTTGGTTGTACCAGGGCCAGTGTTTTCTCCTTAAGCCAAGAAGAACTTGTGGTAGTTTCAAATTATGTCAAATCTGACATGCTTTGCTGCCCATCATGTTGGCAGTACAGGGGGGATCAATTTAGTGTCTGTTGCCGCTTTAGACTGGTGCTCCCATGCTTTCTTCCCTTCAGTCCCCAGGCACTTTCCTCCACTGCCATTCCTTTCCCCCTTCCCACTGAAACAGCTATGTGCAGCTGTGGGGCAGCTATTTGTGTTCAGCAGACTTATAGAGATGCCAAGAGAATTAAACATAGTAAAATAGAAGACTATGGTCTTTGAAAATCCAGCACCTCAGCAAGCCCACTGAAGAGCTTTTATGTTTTAAAAGATCTAGATTCTGGTGAGAGCATGGTAGATCAGGAGAAATGTTATGTTTAGTGGGCTGGAGGAGGTACTGAGTTGTCCAACAGTATGGATTTAGCACGCTTTCAAAACTCTGCATCTCCACAAATTTCTCCAGCAGGCTTGTGGAAGTGCAGAGTTTTGAAAGAGCACAACATGTGTTCTCTTGTGGGTGGTCCAGCAGACAGCACAAGTGAAGCCACTGGTCAAAACCTGCCACTTCCCCAAGCCTCATCCCTGCAGTACGGTCATGACTGGTAGATGATTTTATTTATTTTTATACAAATTATTAAATTTGTATGATTTGTGACACTTGGAAAAGGAGAGGGTAGCAAAGCCACCATTTTGCTTCACATGCCTTGCTTTCATGAAGTCATTTTTCCACCATTCAGCAGCCTGCCCAAACACAGGATGGACAGGATAAGGATAAGGATTGACATAGGGGATAGCAAATTCTATGCCAGTATACTTCCTGCCTACCCAAGAGCAGTGCTTTAATTTGGCAGTGTCATTCTCAGCCACCCCTTCAGTCTCTCTGTTTCTTTGTCTCTCAGATACCTCTTCTTTTCCTCTTTCTTTGGCTTTTCTCTGGCACCCTTTTTGTCTCTGTTTTGGTTTTCTTTGCTACCTCTTCAGTTCCTGTTATCCCATCTGTTTCTGCCTCCTCTTCTCCTCTCTTCTCCTCTCCTCTCCTCCCGTCCCCTCTCCTCTGTCTGCTGCCCTTCTGCTTCTCCCTGTGCTACCTTTTTTCCCTGCTATCACACATCTCTTTTCCCTCTTTTGAAAAAAGTAGATTGATGGTGACTGGGGATCCTAATACAATATAACTTTCAGGTTCAGAAAATGCCAAGACTTTGCACCATCATGGTTTTAGGGTATCAAATAATTTACCTGAGCAGAGAAATCTATTAATTTTGGAACAGACAGATTCTTCCCTTGCTTGGTGGTCAAGAAATCCAGCAAGCATCCTGTCCAAAAAAAAAAAAATTAAAAAATTCAAACAAATAATCATAAAGGTGGATGTAAGAATACTTTATTAGTCTAATCAGTTTTCAGTTGATATCTGTGTTCAGCTTTAGGCTGTGATTCTTGCCAAGGGAAGAATCATATAACTTAACCAGTGATTTTTTAAATCAGATTTTATGTGATGTTGTTACACATATTACTAGATTGGGAATTGGGCTGGATGACCTCTTAGAATACTTTCAAATTCAGTGATTTTTCAATCAGATTTTGTGTATATATGTGAATGGATTTACTGTCAGTGTAGCCTGCCTATGGCAGAGCCTTGGGCTAGCTACAGTAATATACTGTCAATATTACTCAGCCCCTCCCTCAAGAAATGCCCCCAGATTCCAGGAAGTGGCTGGAGGAGGAAAAAAAAGGAGAAAAGTTGGAGGAGGAAGGACTTGCTGCTTTCCCCAGAGAGAAGCTCTATTAGCATCAGAGTTCCTGTACCCAAAGTACAACCTAAGAAAAGTAAGGATGGAAGAATTACAGCCATGTTCTCTTTGTGGCAATTTTCCCTCTGCAACAATAGCATATAGATTTACCTTGATAGTTGCTTTTATTGTGATCCTTTGCTGAAAGAGCAGGAAAGAAGACTAGTCCAAGTATTTGAGGCTCTTTAAGCAAATCACAAATGCTTGGCAAAACCCCCCTACAATCAGATTTGGCCTGCTTAGTTCAGATCTATAGCATTGATAGAGATCCATCAGAATGATTAAGAAGACATATTTACCGTTGGTCATGTATTCCGTTATGATGTAAATTGGCTCCTGGGTCACCACGGCATGCAACTGAACCAACTTGTTATGTTGAAGTCTCTTCATCAAGTTGGCCTCTGCCAAAAACGCCTCAGGGGACATGCTGCCTTCTTTTAAAGTCTTGACTGCCACCTTCACGTTATTCTTGAAATAGCCTGCAGGAGAACATTTGCGGGGAAATTAATGACTATCAGGTAATGTTCTGTAAAACACAACTAGGCCTGTGGGCAAATGGTGGCCCACAAACCTAGAATCAGCAGGTCCCAGAACACCTCAAATCTGCACTGCCACCACTTGGGAGCAAACCACTGAATAAAGAGTGGCATAGCTTCCGTCAAGTTTTCATGGGAAACAGAAGAAAAACTGGGGAAGGGGAAGGACTTTTTAAACCATGGGTAGTTTTAAAAGTGGACAGGGAATCATACACTCCCCAAAGAGGAAAAGACTCTGTGGGCTACATTTGCCTCATTAGGAACCTTTCTTTTGAATGTACAGCAAGGTTCTGGAATTGAGGGTGTGACCGTATATCAGGCCAGACTACTTGTGACTTTAGCACAGCAATATTTATTACAACTGGCTGTGGCTGATCAGGATCTTTCCCACCACTTACTATCTGATTCTCTTTCCTTTAACCAAAAATGCTAAGGATTGAAATTGAGGCCTTATTTTGTTTGCTTGTTAGATTTATATCCCACCTTTCCTCAAGAAATTCAGGATGATCTATTTATTTAAAAGATTTAAATGGCAACCCATCTTAAGAAACAGAACCCTGGATGGCTCACAACAGTTGTATAAAACCAAACAATATAAAAACAATAAAAGCAAAAAGCAATTAAAGCAAAAATAAAAACCTGGTGCCACAACCAATCTCCTTTGATGTAACCAACACTACTATCTTCAAGGTCCAACCACACCTTATCCCAGTGCTTGGGAGAAGAGACAGCTCTTTATGGCCTTCTGGAAGTTAAGAGGGTGGGGCTTGCTGGATCTCAAGGGGAGGGTTTCCATAGGGCAAGGGCTGCCATGGAAAAGGCATGCTTCCTAGCTCCCACTTGATGGCAACATTTAAGGGAAGGGACCTGGAGCATGCCTACTCTATCCAGTATGGTAGAAAGGGCAGATACCTTCAGGGAGAGTGGTCCCACAGATAACTTGTGGTATACATCACCCTCCTACCCCACTTGTTTTCATAACTGCAATCCTATGAGATAGGTTGGCCCAAAGTCACCCATTTAGCTTCCACTGCTGAAAATGGACTTGAACTAGGATTCCCTGATCCCATTCCGATATCTTAATCACTCCATCACATCAGTTCTGCCTTCAGTTCTACCACAATGGATGATGATCCCTCCCTATTTGCCGCAACTTGCAGGGACATAGCCAATACTAAGCACTTTTTCCCACTGATGAGCTGAAGAGTTCTCCATCCATCCTTCAGGCCCCTGACCATTACACCAGTGCAAAATTGACCATCTCATTCTCTCATTCAAGTCACTGTAATTACTTGACTTCCTCCAAAGAAGGATTTGGGTGACAAATCCTAACATATTATATACACCTTGGCTGCCCTTGAGTATTGTTGGAAGAAAATGTCTAACACACTTTAACACTAGAACAGCTAAAGATGATTTGAAGCTGTCTTACACATGGGTTGGGGGAAGAGGACACAACATCATGGGGGCACAGTAGGAAAAAAAAGGGTTGCCAGAGGTGTCCACCAGTGTGGTGGTGGTAAAAATAGTGAAAATGGTGTTTGTGATTATGTAGTTGAAGCCCTGCCCTTTTTAAAATGTGTTGCACATGTGACATATGCAGAAAAGAAGTGTGGTTTCAACTATACAGGTACTTCTGCCATTTTGACTTGTTAACTCCCGCCCAGATATCCTTGTGACTTACAAGTGGGGAAAAGTCCTAAAAATACTCAGATTCAAAAGAAACTATGCAGTACTTCCAAAATCAAAGAAAGCAGGCCTTAAATACAACTGATAGGGAGCAACACCAGAAGAGGATTATTGATTTTCTCTGTAAGCTTCTTAAGTGTAGCTGACTGGCCTGTGTGATGTAGAAGGTGGATTAGAAGGGGCCTTGGCCTGATCCAGTAGCATTCTTTTAATGTTCTTAAATGGATTGCATTTGAATGTCATAATTTTGCCATTTTTTTGTAAGGGCTTTATAAAGTTGAAACCGAATGGAAACCAATTATCTCTATCTTCATACAGTACATTACTTCCTCTTTGCATATCATAGCCTTCAGCTGCAAGGCAAAAGCTCACACATGGAGTGATTTATGTTTCCCTGGGAAGGGCAATACCAAGTTTTTTTCTTTCTCTTTTAATTAGATGTTTTAGAGAAAGTGTAGAAGTAAAAGGAGTAAGTATAAAATACAAATGAGCAAATAAGGGATCTAAAGAAGTCATGCAGGTTAAGTATCCAGCTTGACTTACCCATCCACACCTCACCAAACTGGCCTGCTCCTAACTTCTTGATGAGTTTTATGGAGTCTCGTGGGATTTCCCATTCATCAGCAGCCCAGGGTATTTGTGGAGTCAGAGGCTTGCATGGATATCTTAGCCTCTGGCACAAACCATTCTCATTAACTAGGCAGGGTGACACAAAGGGGAAGTAGAACAAACCAAAGGTACATTTTCAGAGAATGAGATAACAAAAATCAGTTGCAGAGTTTCCTGTTATTTTGAGGTTGGAAAAGCCTCCTCTCTCCCCAAGTTAAGAAAGAAGGGAACCTCCAGATCCTTTTCCTGAAGGTAGGGGAAAAAATCAAGACAAGCAGAGAATTTTACATTTTGCATCATCATCTTGGCCACTAAAGCTTTTGATCCTCTCAGAAATGTTAATGGTAGTACCCTGGTACCCAAATAGTATATAATGGGGAAAAATGCATGGAAGCAGCATCATCATGAGAGATCACTTGCTCCATGCTGTATACCATGGGAACAGGAATTATTCAAGTCTGCTGCTCTCTAGTGACCTTTCTCATGCAGGTAGGATGCATATGTGAAAGACACCAATCCCAAGTATATCAGCTTCTCAGTCCTATCCTCACTGCAGTCTTTGTAATAACAAGCACTGTGTTTGGGACAGCACTGATGGGTTTGGATTTCCACCACCGTTGATAGTGGTGGAAGCAGAATAGCAAAGTAAGTTTTGGGAGTACGGGACAATGTTAAAAATAACCTGGTATCTGAAAAACAAATCTGATACAGAATTCAGTACAAGATGAAATTATTTTTGGACTATAATTCTATGTATAGGCTTCTACTGCATACAAAATTTGAGTTTCTCTTAACATAAGATTTTAACATTTAAGTCTTGGTTTGATTTGTTAAACAAGGATAGATTTCTTAGATTAGACAGAATTTACTGCAATCTCTTATTTTGATTTACAATTCATATTATATTGATAACTAGGTAGACCTAAATTACAAACACATTTTTTTTACTGAATTTTATCCAATTTTATGTGCTATTTATCTTTTTCTGTTTTTTTTCTTGACTGTGTTTTTAAATATCTAATAAAAGGCAATTTTAAAAAAAAATAACATCCATACAATTTTTTTTTTTTTAATGTGCTGAAATTGGCCATCTCAACTCTTGAATTCATTGATTTTGGAAAATCTGAGCTGGCTTGTATTGCAAGCTGTTCTGCTTCTATGGGATAGTCTCTGCTTTATGTCTTGTTAAATATGAACCTGACACATTTCAGAAGTATTCTTACTGGAATAATGCTTGACAAGCTTCTGCAGAGAAGGAAATGTAATCCAGGGGCAGATGTAGTATCCCCCTTGGTCCATAGTGCAGATTTTGTAATGCTTGACAACGTCCCCTTGGGAAGAAATGTCTCTAATGGAAAGTGAAAAGGTGCCTGGAACAAGAAAAAACAAGAATGGGAATTATTTGTTAGTGCTGAAGTTGTGCCATCAGAAGGAGCAGTCTACCGTAGAGGTGGCTATTCCAACATGCACCTTCCAGATAGGCTGGGGCAGCAAATTTTAGAACTCCCAGTAAGTGCGGCATTTTGGGAATTCCAGTCCCAACTTGTCTGGAGGATGCCAGAAGGGGGAAACTGCTCTTGAATTTTTAGCTACATCAGACTACAGGATGTGATTTCATATTACTAGGGTCAAAGCACTGAACAATGAAAAGGAAAGACCAGAGATCTGCTAAATTCTCCTGAAGCCTGACTCCATTATACAGCCCACCCAAATATGCACCTATACGCTGATTTGTGTCATTTAATGTGAATACTCAATTAATCACTGCTGGCCATGGATGGATTGTTGCTACACAAGACACAGAATCCCTCTACTCCTGACCACTTTCAATTCAGCTCCCTTTGCAAAACAACACACTTTATGGTCAAGTGAGCTTTGCAAACTTTTCTTCTTTCTTCTCCTGGATGTTGTAGGAAGATATTAACTATGGTAGCCGAAAATCAGGTGGAGTCTTGTAGTCCCCTTTCCAATTTAACAAATTGTGTTAAAAGATGTAAGCTTTTGTGAGCTACAGCTGATTTTATCAGAAGCATGGAGTGGTGAAGGGGAGGGAAGGAGAAGGGAAGGAGACGTCATTCCATACATCTGATGAAGTGAGCTGTAGCTCACAAAAACTTATGCCTTTTAATAAAAAAAAATTAAGTTGAAAAAGGGGCTACCAGACTTGCAATTGTTACTACTATGATTCCCTCAGAGCCCAACTTATAAAAGAGGTGCAGAGTTTAGGGTTTCTTCCTTTTCTTCTGTCACTGCTTGCTAGTTGAGAGCCAGAAGATGAACAACAAGGGACAGCAATGAAAGTGAGGGATCATCTAGGGCAGTGTTTCTCAACCTTGACAACTTTAAGGTGAGTGGATTTCAACTTCCAGAATTCTGGAAGTTGAAGTCCACTCATCTTAAAGTTGCTAAGGTTGAGAAACACTGATCTAGGGATTGGTGATAGGATGAATGCTTAAGTATTGGTCTCAATAAATGCCTGGTGTGGCCAACCTGAGCCAAATCCAGTGCATGTTTATTTACAACATACAGATGCTAGAGTAACATCAAGATGCTGGGTAACATTTCTGCTGCTTTATTTCTTTCAGTAGGAGGGAGGCAATTTCTGAGCCATTATCACTGTGCAGGGAAGAGAAGGTAGCATCAGAGATTATTCAGGTCAGTTAATCAACAGAGGACAAACATTCCCTGGTCCGCTCCAGCTGTTTTAACTGCAATTGTTCCTTTGAGCAGCCATTTTGTTAAGAGAAGAATCAGGAAAGTTCCTCTATACATAGTATTTGAGCTGAAGTGGGATTGGAGCCATGCTCCTGTGTTCTCCTGACATTTGAGCTTTTTGTAGCTATTCTGCAGTTGCCTTATTAATGTTCAATCTGAGAGGCGGCAGTTTTTCACAGGTGGGATCACTCACCTCATCCCATCATGCACCTTGCCACCATTTCATGGTGTTATTTTTAAACCAAATGGCTCTTTTTCTCCCCATTTCAGGTCAAGGCAGCAGGGTGCCTTATCACCATTTTACTGTTATCAAAACTTGCAAGATTTTGACAATCTCCCTCCAAGCTGTCATGCAAGAATGCCACAATCTTAAGTACATCACATCAGGCTTCATACCAGGAATGGAACTAAATCTCAACTCTCCAGATCTCAGATTCAGCATTTAGGACCTTGTTTACAGCAGGTTACAGACATAACACGGGGACACTTTATTTTGTGAGATTTCAGACAACTTTTTTGTGCAAGATTTCAGACAACTTTTTAAGCCAGTATTATTTTTTAAAACATTATTTATGTCAGTCATCAGATTTGGTTTAGGTTATTACAAAGGCTTCAGGATCTAGACAGGCGTGACCAGTGGGCTGAAATGAATAGGCTGAAATTTAAAAGGGAGAAGTGTGAACTTCAGTATTTGAGTAGGAAAAATGTAAGGCATAATATTACATGGGGAAGGTTGGTTTGGAAGGAGTACATGTGAAAGGAATCTAGGTATCCTTGCTGACCACATTAAACACGAGCCAGCAGTGTGATGCAGCTACTGAAAAGGCAAATTAACAGAAGCACAGAGTCCAGATCATAGGAAGTATTTGTTTCATTTTACTCTGCCCTGATCAGACTCCATGTTAAATTCTGAGCATCACATTTATAAAAAGAACAGTGACAAATGGAGCAAGTTCAAAGGAGGGATGGTGGTAGGTCTGGAAACCAAGTCCTATGAAGAATAGTTAAAAGATCTAGGTATATTTAGCAATACAGAAAATACAACTGGGGGAAGAAATCACAAGCAATCTTCAAATATCTGAAGGGTTATAACTACTGGTGTGCTAGAGCCAGCTTGCGCCAGCTTGTGATAGCCAATTGTTAAATTTTCTGGAATTTTGCAAGATGATTGACAGCAGAGGTGAGCTTCGATGACTAGTGCACCAATCAGCTGTTCCATGGCGAGTGGCACCGTGGTGGCAATGGAGCTGGCAGAGCCAGTTCTTAAGCATTTAGCAGCACACCCCTGATTATTACACAGAAAAAGGAGTGGACTTATTCTCTATGGCTCCAGAAGGCAGGACTGGAACTGAGGGTTCAAATTAGAAGAAAGGAGGTCTGGGATATCAGGAGAAGCCTCCTGGCAGGATGAGCTGTCACCCAATGGAGCAGGCTGCCATGTGTGAGATCAAACAGAGGCTGGATGGTCATCTGCCAGATGTGCTCAGATGGATCCTGCACTAAGCAGGGAGTTGAACCAGATGATCTCTGAGATCCAACTCTATAATTCTATGATTATAAGTGAAAGTGGTTAATCAAGAAGTGACCCATTCTATATTTTGCCACAACATAGATGCTCATTTCTCTCCAAGAGAGAGAGAGGGAGAGGGAGAGAAATAGATTTATAAGGCTGTCCCACTCCCTGCCAACTCTGGGCAGCTTACAACAATAAAAACAATACAAAACTATAAGCAAAGCAGAAAAGAGACAAAAGACATCCAAAAGAGGCAACCATCCAACTCAACAACAAAAGTCCTATAAGAAGCTCACCACCCACTATAACAAGTCCTGGGAGAAGACCCATATTTTTAACAACCTTTTAAATAAAGGCAGGTAGTAGCCATACAAAGCTCTGGGAGAATGTTGTTTCAGAAGGCAGGCACCGTAACTTCCTGGGTGACATTGCTTGATTGATGGGACCAGGAGCATGGCAAGTGAATCAGATCAAACAGGATGAGCAGAAAGTTCTGGAGACAGATGGCCCCTCAAATGACGGGCTTTATAGGTGGCAACCGGCAGCTTGAATTGGACCTGGAAGCTAACTGGCAACCATTGTAGCTCACAAAGCAGAAGTGTTCCCTGGGCATACTATGACATACCCATTACTGCCCATGCTCCTGCATTCTGGGCCAGCTAAAGCTTCCAAGTGCAAGGGCAGCTCCATGTTCAGCACATTGCAACGATTCATTAATGAGCTGACCAGAGCATGAGTGACTCTCTGCAGAGCCTCCCAGGCCCAGAATGGGAGCAACTACTGCCTAAGATAAACCTGCGCAGATACCTTTCTAGTCCCAGCTGCCACCTGCTCTTTGCACAGGACCTGCAAGTCAAGGAAAAACCCCAAATTGTGCACCAGTCCGGAATGGGAAACTGCTACCCTATCTGGAATTCTGGGATGGAGGAGTCAAAACACCCACAGTCTGGTAGAATTGAGCCTGAGTCTCTTCCTCTCTGTTCAGACCCTCGCAGCTTCCAGACCTTGGAACAAGAGTCAGACGTTGACAGCATCACTTGGTTGGCCTCGGTTAAGGTATATAGCTGAATATCATCAAAATACTGATGGATAACTTCTTCCAATGGCCTCATGTAGATATTAAATGGGGGTGTGTGTGAGAGAGTGTGTCAACCTGTAAAGGGTTGTGAGAATAACCTTGAGGAAGAAGTGCCGCACCCAAGGCAATGGTCAGATAAGAAAAACCTCAGCCCAAAGTCATGAGTACTAAATTATAGAGTTATAGTATTTTATTTTAGGGTTATAATAACAGAATTTTGCAACTCTGAATGTGCCTCTCCCCTCCCTGCATTTATCCTAAACAGAACTAGGGAGGGTCAATTCTGAGATGCTTCTTAAATTCCATTCCTGCTTTGGGCTGAGATTTCTCTTATCTGACTATTGCCTTGGCTGCAGCTCTTCCTTTTCTTCCTCAAAGTTTTTCTCACATAACCCCTATGGTATCCTACATTAGGAGTTTGAGTCAGATCTCCCTCCCCCGCATCCTGCCAACACTGACTGGAACTACCCACAGAAATGGGATGAGAACCACCATAGCACAATGCCTATCACTCCTAACCCTCATCAGTGGTCCAGAAGGACACCATGACTGAAAACATCAAAACCACTAAGAGATCAGAAAGAGCTAGGACAGTTGCATCATCCTTGGCTTGGCTCCGTCAGAAGTCATCAACCAGCACGATCAATTCTGCCTCTGTACTGTTTCCCAGTCTGAAACCTAACTAAAAAGGGTTTAGATAATTCATTTCCTCCAGAGCCCTCTGCAGCCACAGCCTGACCATCTTCTCAACAACCTTCCCTAGAAAGAAAAGATTGGAGATTGGATGAAAATTGTCTAGAACTCTTAGGTCCAGTGATAATGTCTTAAGAAGGGGTGTGCCATCATCTTCAAGGAAGGTGGGACCACCCCCTGCCTGATGCTACAGCATGGACCCAACCAAATGTCACCTCGTGGATGGCCTTCACCAGTCAGGAGGAGCAAGGATTTAATAGCAGTTGCTTGCATTTCCAGCCTTAAGTACCCTCAGGAATGACAGGTTCAATTTCATCCCAGCTAATCACATAAGGCCTTGCCTCAGTCACATCAATGGGACTTGCCCAAAGTCTAACTCTAAAAGAATCAAAGTGACTTTACCCTCCAGATAGCTAGAAGATTCCTCATAGAAGCCCTGCATCTGATCTTCCAACCTGCCCCTTCCCAATCACCTTAAACAGCCTCTGGACTGCTATCTGTGGAGATGATCAGAATGAAAAAATAACTTCTTTTTGCTGCTTTTATTACCATGATGTAATCCTTAAAGTGGGCAACTCATGCAAGTTTTACTTTTATATACAAAACAATTTTCTAACTTCTTACCTGGATCAGATTCACTCTCCCTTATCAAGAATGAGCCTACTCTGTTGCCTGGTATCATTAAAAGGCGTTCAGCATCTTTTCTGTTAAGGCCTTTAAAGAACCATCTGAAAAAAGAAAGAGCAAGATTTTTATTCAACAACTCCAGCTAGAGCAGCGTTTTTCAAACGTGGCAACTTCAAACTTGGCTGGGGAATTCTGGGAGTTGATGTCCACGCATCTTAAAGTGGCCAAGTTTGAAAAACACTGAGCTAGAGCAATGATTAAAAAACCAAACCAAACCTGGAGATCCAGAAGATTTGCAAATTACATTTGCTTTTGCCCTAACTTTTCAGTTTTATAGTGAATTCAGAAGTTCAAAAACAGCATTTAATGTTATGTTATCTTACCAACATATTTCTGATATACTGAATTTTTAAAACTTAATAGGCAATTGCACTGGTTTGTTCAGGGGAGTATAGAAAATGGCTGCTGAAAATTCTCCCTATCTCTTTAATTAACAGCTTCCTCTTTGCTTTCATTCTTACTCACTTTTGCTTCCCAGTGTTTGTCCTTTAAGTCTGCAGTCATACAGCCTATACATATTTTCCTGGAATAAGCTCTATTAAGCTAAGTGATTCCACAGTAAATACCCATATGATTGCTTTTGTTAATTGGTCCCTGTCCCTTATGTGGTCAACCACATTCCTGAATCAGCCGTTAATAATTCAGGGATTGTGGCTGAAACTTTCATTTCTTCCTTGCCAACAGACCAGTTAATCTTGTAGCTAGTTTTTTATGGTGTCAGTTGGAAGCTACCAAGTAAGGGGACAAAAATTAAGAAATATAAGGTGACATTCCTTAATTAAAAGATCATTATAGGGGCCTTAGTAAAAGAAGCCTTGAGTAATTAATTATTTCATTTATTTGCACAACAATTTACATAGCTCCCACTCCAAAGAATCTAGGTCAGAGGTTTTGAACTCATGGTGTGTGAGCTCCATGTGGCACACAACAATCATTTGCTGAGTATGCTGCCCAGTAAGGGCAGGGTGTTGAATGCCATGTAGGAAATGGAGCAGCCTGGTAGTGGAGGCCTAGCAGCTTGCCTCAGTCTGACCTGGTGGGTCTCCTGCCAACAGCACGGTTTCTTGCCTTGGGCAATGCTGCTCTCACAGAACCTGCACCGACCCACTCCTGCTCTCCATGGTGGGCACTGCTCCTGACGTGGCCCTAGGGTCCCTGAGGGGCAGTGCAAAGGTCAACATCTCCTGGGGGGCTGGGGCTGCCTGAGGAAGAGAAGGAGGAGGGGACTGAGGATGAGGGCTGGGGCTGGGGCTGGGGCTGGACACCTATCAGAAGGCGTCCACCTATCTCTGCTGGCCAAGGAGTAGGAAAGACAGTGAACAGAGGAAGCAAGCAAGATATCTTGGTTAGACAAAGGAAGGAAATATGGACCCCAGATAGAAAGGAGAGAGAAGGGAAGGGAAAATGAGTGGGAGAAAGACCAAAGGAAAGTGAGATCTTTCTCTTTGGCAAGAAGACAGAAAATAAAAAGCAGGACTCTGAAACAAGTTTCCTAGATTATATCACCCACCTATGATCTTGGAAAAATATTACATATCAGCCCAGTGGGGGGGAAATATTAATGTCCTGATCAGTGAAAGATGCTGCCAGTTAAGGAGCCAAAGTGAAATGGCTCTGTATCACAGCCCTATGTTTGCAAGTAATTCTGCTGCACAATACTTTTTATTAATTCGTATATACATTTAATGGCATGCCATAGTATTCTTCATGTTTGATTTGCTAGATGTTTTTGTATCAATGTAAAGGCTTTAGTGTTATGGTCTTCAGGCTAACTAACTAGTTCCCATGTGGCACTTGTGACAATTTGACTTTGAGCCCCTGCTTTTAGCAGTTTACAAACATAAAACAACATGATAAAACAAACCCAATCACAGACCATCACAGTCCAAATAAAATATCATATGAATCTGACCTGTAGAGAAAAGAACCATTGGATTTGTCTTACAGATTCAACACTCTTTCAAGTAACTTGTGAATTGGCACAAATTTGTTTACACTCCTGGTTTTTGGGCAGGAAGATCACAAGCACTTTCTTTTCCATTTTTCCAAAGACTGGGCTGGACACAGTAGGGGGTGTCAGGAAATACAGACTCACTGGTAGCAGGCACTAAAAATTATATTTTCTTGGCCAACCCTTGAGAGAAGGGGTCTGCCAGTGTAGTTTTAAAATTATCCATCCACTCAACTTGTCACTATTTAGCAGTAACAGGAGGACAGATATAAGTGGAGAAGGGGAAGTACCTTATTGCTTTAACTTTGTATTGATTGCTTTTCTTGAATTTAACTGTGATTTTGGTCTTAAATTTGTCATTATGTTCTGTGAAAATGAAAAGTGCTGCATACAGTATTTAAATATAAATATATAATAATATGCAAACAGATAAACTGAACAGCTAGTTTTCACAAACTAGCTGTTTGTGAGAGCCAGTTTGATGTAGTGGTTAAGGCACCAAGCTAGAAACCGGGATACCGTAAGTTCTAGTCCTGCCTTAGGCATGAAGCCAGCTGGATGACTTTGGGCCAGTCCCTCTCTCTCAGCCCTAAAAAGCAGGCAATGGCAGACCAATTCTGAAATCTTGCCAAGAAAACTGCAAGGACTAATCCAGACAGTCTCTAGGAGTCAAGACTGACTCAAAGGCGTGCACACACAAGATTGTACAATAGACAGGTATATCAGCTGTGGGAAATGAACAAGGATGTAAGATCTCCTATCAGCCTGAACCAATCCACTGTGGGATGAAGGCCTCTTCACTCAAGGTTATAGACTGTAATCAGCCATGCTGATCTGGTGCAGGTTGTTAGATAGAGGATTTTGATTTCTCAATTTAGGGCTGAGAGAATATGAGTGGCCAAAATCACCAGCCACTTCCTGTGCCTAAGGGAGAACTAGCACCTGGGTCTCCCTGCTCCTAGTCCAATGTAAAGAGTGGTTAAGTAAACATAAATTGGCTTCACTTTTTGAAGAAGAAATGCAAGAGTGGTTAAGTAAACGTAAATTAGCCCCAGGAAAGAAGAGGAAGGAAGAAAGAAAGATATTCTTAATTCTCTTTGGTTTAAGAGGAGGCAGAGGGAAACTGTCAGGCTTTCAAGGTTCTGTTATTATACCTTATAGCAGTGTTGTCCAAACTTGGCCACTTTAAGATGAGTGGACTTCAACTCCCA